TTTTTTTTTTTTTTTGATTCAGAGTCTCACACTGTCACCCAGGCTGGAGTGCTGTGGCACATTCTTGGCCACCACGGCCTCTGCCTGCTGGGCTCAGGCGATCTTCCCAGCCGGGAGTGGTAGCGTGTGCCTGTGGTTCCAGCTACTTGGAAGGTGACTGTGAGTGTGTCACTGCACCCCAGCCTGGGTGACAGAGTGAGACTCCAACTCAAAAAAAAAAAAGAGTTACTCATTGGCCTGACGTTTTTTATTTTACATTTTCTGTTGTTGCTTTTTTCCACCAGGGCCTACATTCATCAGTACACAAAATTTGGAATTGAAGAAGAGGACTTTTTGGCCAGTTTCACGTTGTTGGAGCAAGTTGTTGCCAGTTACCGTAACCTCTGATTTTGAACAAAGGAGAAAAGTACCTTAACGTGCTTTTGGACTTAATACGTTCTCTATAAGGTTTTCAAATTAATGTGTATTAAAGTAACAGGAGAATGCTGAGTCCATTCTGTATCCTTTGCTCACAGAAAAGGATGGGAACTTTTTTTTTTTGAGTTGGAGTCTCACTCTTGCCCAGACTGGAGTACAGTGACATGCTCCCGGCCACCGCAGCCTTGACCTGCTGGGCTCCGGCGATCCTTCCGCCTCAGCCTTCCAAGTAACTCGAACTACAGGCGCGCGTTACCATGCCCGGCTAATTTTTTTGATTTATTATAGAGATGAGGTCTCGCCAAGTTGCCCAGGCGGGTCTCGAACCTGCGGGCTCAGGCAATTCACTCACCTTGTCCTTCCAAAGCGTGGGATTATAGGCTGAGCCACCAAGCCTGGCCACTTTTTTTTTAATGAGTTGGAGTCGCACTCTGTCGCCCAGACTGGAGTGCAGTGGCACACTCATGGCTACCACAGCCTCATCCTGCTGGGCTCAGGTGATCCTTCCTCCTCAGCCTTCCAAGTAGCTGGAACTATGGGCGCATGCCACCACACCCGGCTAATTTTATGATTTATTGTAGAGACGAGGTCTCACCAAGTTGCCTATGCTGGTCTCAAACCCCTGGACTCAGGCAGTCCTCTCGTCTCGGCCTCCCAGGGTGCTGGGATTACAGACTTAAGCCACTGTGCCCAGCCAGCATATTTTCAATGAAAACATCTACTTGTGCCAGGTGCGGTGGCTCAAGCCTGTAATCCCAGCATTTTGGGAGGCCGAAGTGAGAGGATTGCCTGAGCCCACAGATTTGAGACCAACCTGGGCAACTTGGTGAGACCTCATCTCTACAATAAATCAAAAAATTAACCAGGCATAGTGATGTGCACTTGTAGTTTCAGCTACGGAAGGCTAAGATGGAAGAATCACCTGAGCCCAGCAGGTCAAGGTTGTGGTGGCCATGAGTGTGCCACTGCACTCCAGCCTGGGTGACAGAGTGAGACTCCAACTCAAAAAGAGAGGGGGAAAAAAACCCTCTCTTTACTGCAAAAGAATTCAGTAAATATGAACTAAACTTTCACAGTACAATTTTAAGCTAAGAAATTATACCTGCACTTTGGGAGGTGGGGGCGAGAGGATTGCCTGAGCCCATGGTTTTGAGACCAGCCTGGGCAACTTGGTGAGATCTCATCTCTACAATAATTTAAAAAATTATCCGGGCATGGTGGTGTGTGCCTGTGGTTCCAGCTACTTGGAAGACAGAGACAAAAGGATCATCTGAGTCCAACAGGCCAAGGCTGCAGTGGCCATAAACATGCCACTGCAAAGACCCTGACAAAAAAAAAAAAAAAGAGGCTGCCCCCAGTGGCTGTGCCTGTAATCCCAGCACTTTGGGAAGCTGAGGTGAGTGGATTGCCTGAGCCAGCCAATTTGAGACCAATTTGAGACCAACCTGGGCAACTTGGTGAGACCTCGTCTCTACAATAAATTTAAAAAAAGAAAAGAAAAGAAAAATAAATTACAATTCTTTTCTTAATGTACCAGAGATGCCAAAAATATATATACACATTTTAAGAGATGTTTGTTGTAATCAGAAGTGTCTGGACGCTGATGGTAACCACTTTGAGCACCTCTTGTAATTGCAGAAGTCAAACATGACATGTATTCATCTTATTATTGCAATTTTCACGCAGTTTTTTTCTTTCTTAAAATGTGTATACATTTTTTTGGCACCTTCTACATTCATCTTTGAAATGAATGCTTTGAACCACAAGAGGGAGATGTTGTCAAATGCTACAGTGTGAACATCTATTTTGAATATCCTGCAGCAGGATAAGAATTTCCACTCTAAGTAGCTATCCCAGCACTTTGGGAGGCTGGGGTGAGATGATTGCCTGAGCCCAAGGGTTCCAGACCAGCCTGGGGAACTTGGCAAGACCTCATCTCTACAATAAATCAAAAAATGAGCCGGGCATAGCCAGACTTGGTGGCTCAGCCTGTAATCCCGCGCTTTGGGAGGCTGAGGTGAGTGGATTGCCTGAGCCCGCAGGTTCGAGACCCGCCTGAGCAACTTGGCAAGACCTCATCTCTACAACAAATAAATTTTAAAAATTAGCCAGGTGTGGTAGCGCGCACCTGTAGTTCCAGCTACTTGGAAGGTTGAGGCGGAAGGATCGCTGGAGCCCAGCAGGTTGAGGCTGCGGTGACCGGGAGAGTGACCACTGCACTCCAGTCTCGGTGACAGAGTGAGACTCCAATTCAAAAAAAAAAAAATTAGCCGGGCATGATAGCGTGTGCCTGTGGTTCCAGCGACTTGGGAGGCTGAGGCAGAAGGATCACCTGAGCCAGGGAGGTCGAGGCTGCTATAGCCATGAAAGTGCCACTGCACTCCAGGACTCTGACTCAATCAATCAATCAATAAACAATAGGGTTGCTCTGCGGCTCAAGCAGTCCTCTCACCTCCACCTCCTAAAGTGCTGGGATTACAGGCATTAGTCACATGCCTGCTGGGCATGATTTCTTGTGCCTCAGGACACTTTGAGGGGTGAGATAGTCCGAATTGTCTCTGGGAGCAGTGTCTCTGGGAGCAGCGAGGTGTGAGCGAGGCTGGGAGGCAGCAGCAGAACCTTGACCTGCGGCCTCAGTCTGCAGCAAATGGGCTTCCAAAGCATTCTTACTGGTTGGATCTCTGGCTCTTTATCCTTTTCAATGTAGTATTTTAAAATTTTTCTTTGTATGTTTTTTTGCCATGACTGGTTTGCTGATATCTAAATTAAGAAGTTGGCTCAGGAGTGAATTCTGAAAATGTCTACTAACTTCTTGAATAAAGAAGACCAGATATGAAAGTCAGTCCTTGACACAAGCGTTTGTAGAAAAAAAAAAAAAAGAATTAGTCAGGTATGGTAGCACACGCCTGCAGTTCCAACTACTTGGAAGTCTGAGGCGGAAGGATCGCCTGAATCCAGCAGGTAGACACTGGGGTGGTGGTGAGTGTGCTACTGCACTCCAGCCTGGGCAACAGAGCAAGACTCCAACTCAAAAAAACAAAAAAGAAGACAGATGGGATTGTGCAGCAGCAGAATTTCAGATCTCTAAAAGAGATCTTACTTTGATTTTGCACTTTCTGTTACTTATTTGGAGAACACTATTAAATGAGTAGGATTTTACGCATTCATAGCTAAGTTCTTAAAACTTTGGTTCATGTTTTTAAAAGTTTTTTTTAAAACATTTCATGGCTTTACAGGGGCTAAATATAAATGTATTTGTAGGCCGGGTATGGTGGCAACACTCTGGGAGGCAGAAGCAAGGGGATTGCCTGAGCCCAGGGGTTCGAGACCAGCCTAGACAACTTGGCGAGACCTCGTCTCTAAAATAAATCAAGAAAAAGCCAGGCTCGGTGGCTCAGTCTGTAATTCCACGCCTTTGGGAGGCTGAGGTGAGTGGATTGCCTGAGTCCGCGGGTTCGAGACCCGCCTGGGCAGGCGAGACCTCATCTCTACAATAAATCAAAAAATTAACTGGGCGTGGTAGCACACGCCTGTAATTCCAGCTACTCAGAAGGCTGAGGCAGAAGGATCGCCAGAGCCCAGGCAGGTCGAGGCTGCGGTGGCTGGGAGCGGCCACTGCACTCCAGTCTGGGCGACAGAGTGAGACTCCAACTCAAAAAATGAAAGAAAGAAAGAGAGAAAGAGAGAGAGAGAGAAAGAAAGAGAGATAGATTAGCCAGATGTGGTTGTGCATGCCTGTAATGCCAGCTACTTGGAAAACTGAGGCAGAAGGATCACCTGAACCCAGCAGGTCAAGGCTGCGGTGGCCATGAGTGTGCCACTATACTTCAGCCAGGGTGACAGAGTGAGAATGATTAAAAAGAAAAGTGTGTGTAAAAATACTTTAAAATAATACTTTAAAAAATTTTTTAAATGAAATAACAGGTGTTCAGATGGAATGCATGAGAGTTGTATGCTTTACAGTAAAAGGGGTAAGAATTTTCACTCAAATTTTTCACTAATTTGAGAAAATTATCACTGAAATACAGTGCTTGGTGAGATGGACACACACACGTAAGTTTCACTCAGAAGGATAAAACGCACTTGAAAATTGGCAACTGAGTTTGAGGGGAATGGGGTATTTCCCTAAGACATCACATGCAGTGCATTAACAAATGTCAAATGAGAAACAAATAGGAACATTTGCCCATTCTGCCAAATCTACCAGTAGTGACTTGTACTTTTATAGGGAAAAATGACAGTTCACAGCTTCACTGGCTTCTTCCTTTTCATTCCATATGGAAATGATTACCTTTTTGCTGTTTTTCTTATCAACTGTTGCTATGATTTAAATTCGGACCCATATCTTATTTCTAAGGAATGTAAAAAGTAGTCTGTTCCACTGCTAAAAGGCACACCCCACTGCTGCATGTTGTTAACCAAGTATACTTGAAAAATAATTAGATCATAATTTTTACCAAACAGAGTCAAAGTCATTGTTTAGGCATTAAAGAGATTCCGAGACTGAAACAATTTCCCAGGCTAAACTAGCGTCATGAAGGTCTGGAACTGAGTTCTCTCACCACGGGTTAAGCTGATTCTGAGGAATCCTGGTAGGGGTTAGGCTTAAAGGCAGTCAGAGGTTGGAATCATTTGGTATTTGAGGAAATTAGTCTTGAGGTGCTAATAAGGGCAAGCATATTTCTAATTTGGCAACTCTTAGAATCAATGGAGGTGAATGTTAGAAGTAAACCCAACTAGACAGAGCTCTGGGTCCAGTCAGTTATGCCATTTGACCCTTTTTTATGATACTAAACTGCATTGTTTGATATATATGAATACCTAAATATTTTTACGCTTGCTTTGACACATTTACATAGAACATAATTTTTTCTTGTCTATTTGGAATAACGAAATTTGTGCTCTTAGAATCGTGCTTTTAAGTTAAATATTAACATAAGGAAGCTGATGTAAAAGTTTTAAGATATGAGGTGGAATCAGAAATGTACTTTGGTTAGTGTGGAGAATATGATCAGGCAGCCAAGACAATATTAAGAATC